CTCTGGAGTTCGGGCGGTCCGCAGCGGCGCCGGCAGCGACCAGCTCCCCGACGACCGCGGCCAGGGGGGCCCAGCACTGCTCGGGCGGCGGCGCCAGCACCTCGGCCACCGGGGGCCACGAGGGGGCGGCCGGAGAGGGGGCCCAGCATTGCTCGGGCGGCGGCGCCAGCACCTCGGCCACCGCGGCCACGAGGGGGCGGCCGGAGAGGCGGGACCTCGTCCTCGGGAAGGCCGTGCCGTCGGGCCTCGGGGCCCCAGGGGTGGCCACCTGAGCTCGGAGGCTTCGAGGTCGGCACCAACACCAGTCGTCGGCGGCTGCCTCCACCGAGGGAAGGTGATCCTGACCTCGGCGATGGTGGTGATACTCGGGCCTCTTGGGCGGCCGAGAGGTTACCACCAGCGTGAAAGTCCAGGATCACCTCCCCCAGGTGGAGGCCACCCCCTGTGCCGGTGCTGGCGCCAATGTCCAGGCCCCCAAGGGGTCACACCGTATCGCCCGAGGCGCTCCAGAGGGGGCCTCGCCTTTGACGCTGGCCTCGCGCCCCCGGCAGCGCCGGCACCTCGGCCACCGGCGCCAAGGGGGCGCGGCTGGAGGGGAGAGGACCTCGCCCTCCACAGGGCCGCGTGTTCGCCGCGGAGGGCCGCCGGAGCCACCCGACGCGACCTCGCCGCCGAGGCTCGCGTCGCGTCTGCGGCGGAGGCCGCCTGAAGGCCCGCGGAGGCCGGCGGGAGCAGAGCGAGGTCACGAGGGCGGCTCCCTCGGCGGGAGGCCAGCGGAAGGGAAGGCTGGAGGAAGCCGGCGGCAGTGAGACCAGACCCCCAAGGGAGGCCAACGCCGATGTACCAGCGTCTGCAGAAGCGGCCACGAAACTCCGCGTCTGGCCCTTGAGGGGCAGCATTCTGGGGGGGGCCAGCTCACTGGGGAGAAACATTGAGCTTGAATCGGCGATGCATCGCCGATGGATCGGCGACAGGCCCCCGACAGCGAAACTGCGCAATCCTGGGCTGGTTGGGCTATCATGTCCCTATCGGCGATGAATAGGCGATTGGGGGTCGCCCCCCTAAGGTCGCCCACCTACCTTCGGGGCGCCTACCGAACACAATGAGCGAGGCCCCCGTTTTTTCCCATAGGTTGAACCTCCATCTCCCATCGAAAGCCTAAGGAAACCCTAAGGCAAGCTGCGAAACAATCCAGGAGCACGGAGCCCCTCCCCAACGAAGAGGGCTCCTCCTTCCGCGCCCCGACGGCGAGGCCGCCCTCCTTGAGCCCGCTTCCCCCCCCCTCCCGATCGCCCCTGATCTGCACGGCGCGCGACGCGCCATCGCGCGCGTGCGCCCTCGCGCGGACCCGTGCATCCCTCGGGAGAGCAACTCTTCCGCCTGCGCTGCGGAAAACACGTGGAGCAAAAGGATTCGGAAAAAAGCGCCTGCTTCCTATGGAGCGGCTGTCTCTATGCGGTCCAAACACGAACGCATTCATTCGCTTCGATCCCCTCTCGCTCCATGTTCGAGGGGGGGGGGGAGCCGCCGCCGACCCCCAGGGGGCTCCCGAGCCGCCGCGCCGCCACGAGGCGCCGCCCCCCGCGGCGCGCGCGCCCCGCGCGGGCGCCCCCCCGCGGCCGCGGCGCGGCGGGAGGGCCCCCTCGAAGCCCCTGGGGGGCGGGCGGCGGGCCTGCACGGCGCGCGCCGCGCCCGTCGTGGCGCGGGAGGGGAGGAGGGGGGAGGGGAGGAGGAGGAGGAGGGAGGGAGAGAGGAGGAGGAGGAGGAGGGGAGGAGGAGGAGGAGGAGGAGAGGGAGGAGGATCCCCCCCCCCGTGGAGGGTGCCGCCCGTCTGCCCGCGCCCCCCCCCCCCGGCGGCCGCGCGACGCGCGAGGGGGCGGCGGCGGCCCTCGCCGCGGGATCCGCCGGGAGAAGGCGAGGCGGGCCTCGGCCTCCGAGGCCGCGGCGGGGGCCGGCCCAGACCCCCCCCCCTCGAGGGGTGCCACAGGCCACGACGGCAGGTGCCTGGCACTGTGGAGAACCGGTCCCGGGGAAGGGGGTCCCGGGGAATGGGCAGGCTCGTGCGGCACGAGGTACAGGAATGGGCAGGCTCGTGCGGGACGCATTCGAAAATAGAAGCAGAACGACTACCTCACGTAGGAAAAAACTGTATGCCATCATGCTTACATACTGATTTTTATTAAGTAGACCCTGGCAGACACCAAAGCGCCTACATGGTCAGAAATCCCAATCAGGTGGGGTAAGTGTCCAAAGGCAGTCCCTATACTCGTGCGCTGGGGGGGCGAAGCAGAGCCGCGTCGACGGCCAGGCCGCATGAAACAAGTGTTTTGGTTTGCGTCGGCGGCAGGGTCACTGCGCTGGCGAGAGGGCAACATTGAGAAACAGAAGAGCCACGGGCTTGTGGCAGCTTCCCGCACCGTCGTACATCTATTGACCTTAGCCGAATCCTGCCGTTCAACGCCTAGGAGACGTACTGCATCTCGGGTACGACGTGGCTCTTGAAAAATCCATGTCGCATGCCTGCAAGAAGCTTGACGTCGGCCCAATGCCTGCATCAACATCGTACCACACCATTGGAGGATGGGAGGACGCCAATTTCATCACTGCCTTGCGGTCGAAGCCCGCGGTTTCTAGCAAGGTAATGCGCTCCCCGTATCCAAGTCCAGCACTCGAGATAGAAAAACGCCACCTTTACCACTGCCGTGCGGTCGAAGCCCGCCGTCTCCAGCAAGGCAATGCGTTTCTCCACATCGAGGCCAAGCAATGAAGTCACCAAGATGCCATCTTTATCACCACCTTGGGGTCGAAGCCTGCCGCCTCTTTCAAGGCAACGCGCCTCTTGACAGCAAGGCCCAGCACGGAAGTTTTGGACGACACCATCTTCACCACTCTCTTGCGGTCGAGACCCATCTCACTAGCAAAGCGATGCGTCTGTCCACATCCATGCCTTAAAACGACGCGACGATCGGGACAAAATCGGACCGGGATAACTCGAAATCTCTGAGAATCGGCGGGTTTGGAGGATGTATTGGGCGCCGCGGCCGCTCCAGAGCGTTCCGGAACGCTCTGAGAGCGCTCCGGAACGCTCTGGAGCGATTTATCCCGATCCTAGCCCTGTTTTATGCCTAGCACTTGGGGCGGGACTGCGCCATCTTCAGCGCTGCCTTGCGGCCAACGCCCGCCGTCTCTAGCAGGGCGGTTCGGCTCTCCACATCGTAGCGCCCAGCACCGGAGGGTGCCGTTTGCGCCATCTTCACCACTGCCTTGCGGCCGATGCGGCTGCTCGCGTGCAAGCCCTGCATTTGGGGAAAGGACGGCACCATCGTCAGCACTGCCGTGTGGTCGAAGCCCGAGGTCTCTAGCAAGGCGATGCGACCCTCTGCGTTCAGGCCCAGCACTTGAGGGTCAGAGGACGGCATCTGCCTCACTGTCTTGCGGTCGAAGCCCGCGGTTTCTAGCAAGGCCACGCGGCTCTCCGTATCCAAGCCCAACACCTGAGGGTGGGAGGACACCACCTTTACCACTGCCGTGCGGTCGAAGCCCGACAGCTATAGCAAGGCGAGTCGGTGTTTCACATTGATGCCCAACACTTTTGGGAAAGAACGGCAACAGCTTCAGCACTGCCTTGCGGCCGAAGAAGCCCGCCGTCTCTAGCAGGGCGATTCGGTTTTCCACATCGTCGCCAAGCACTTTGGGAACGGACGACACCACCTTCAGAACCACTTCCATTAGCCTCGGCTTGATCCCGCCGTTCAATGAATCGGAGAGGTACCTCGGGTACGACGTGATCATTGGAACGTTCATGCAGTCTGTCCGCAAGAAGCTCGGCTTCGACCCGCTGTGTGTATCAACATCGTACCACATTTCTGGAGGATGGAAGGGCGCCAGTTCCATCACTGCCTTGCGGTCGAAGCCCGCGGGTTCTAGCAAGGTAACGCGGCTGTCCGCATCCAAGCCCAGCACTTGAGAGTGGGAGGACGCCGTCTTTGCCGCTACCTTGCGGTCGCAGCCTGCCGTCTCCAGCAAGGCGATACGACACTCTGCACTACACTGTGCTGGTGCAGTCATGGATCGCATTGGACGCCAACCGACGGACGCCAGAGTTGCAGGAGGATCTCTCGCCGCCGACCACGTGTATCAGATCCTTGCGGGCGGATGCATGCAAGATCGGACCGCGGCCGGCTGCGCGATCTGCTCGGCTCCTGCCGGCAGCATGACCACTGTGGGTCTGCCCCAGCCAGCCGCGCATGGCGGCGGTCCCGAAGCGCAGGCCAACGAACGAGGACGCGAGGGGAAGAATGTGGGCGCCGCACGAAAAGTCGCCGCGTGGCAGGGCGCTCTCATGCAGCAATAAGTGTGCGAAGGAGCACACTGACTCCAGCCTGGGTCGTGTGCCGACTTTAAACACTGTCATTTGGATCGAGATGGCTTGCGCCAGAATCGCGTGAACCAGAACGGCTTGAGCCAAATGGCTACGGATTTCCACTCGGGGCGTCTTTGGTCGTCTCGAGGGCCCCTCTCGCCTAGGCGCATCCCGCACTCCTACCCTCCGCCATCACGACGATGTGCTCATGCTGCTTGCAGCCTGGGTGCTGACAACATCCCGGGGACGCTGCTGGCAGGAGAGGACACTCGGCAAAGACTCTGCCAACTGTGCCCAGAGGTCACTGCGGGCGCAGACTTCCATCCTGGCCGGTTTGTCGTCCCACATCGATGATCGACGGCCCAAGGGCCCAAAACAAGCCCCCAGGCGACGCCGAAGCCAACAAACAAAACCCTCCAGATTCCTCCTCCGCCCCCCCGAATGTAGAACACAGCCGGGGCATGGACACGAGAGCGAGGGGAGGGGGCTGTCCTGCTGGTCCTCCTCCTCATCCTGCAACTCCTCCTCATCCTCCTCTTCCTCCTCCTCCTCTTCCTCATCCTCCTTTCTCATCCCTCGTCTCCACTCCTACTCCTCCTCCTCCTCCTCCTCCTCCTCCTCCTCCTCCTCCTCCTCCTCCTCCTCCCTCCTCCTCCTGCTCCGCCTCCTCCTCCTCCTCCTCCTCCTCCTCCTCCTCCTCCTCCTCCTCCTCCTCCTACGTGGAGATACCCAGCTCGAAGAGCACGCCGAGGTGGAGCGCCCAAAACACGAAGCACACACCCCATCCAAAGCTGCGGCAGGCTCGTGCCGAGACGATCCCAGCGTTGGCTTCTGGTGCCGCGTGGGCAGCCTATCGTTGAACGATCGGCGGCTCTTCGATCCCCAAGTCGTTCCAGATTGCCCAGTTCTGGGCCACTGGCGGCGTTCATCCCTGAGCGCCCGCGAAGGGGGCCCCGCGTCGGCACGGCGCGGAGCGCTCGTAGGGTTGTTATGTTTTAACCCCCCCGCGCCAGCCGCAGTGCTGCAGCGGAAGCGGGCAGCAGCTACGGCGGGCACCCCGAGGTGCAGCCAGCCGTTGCCGTCGTGGTCGGTCCACCCCAGCAGGTCGTCGGGCGGCCAGCGCTCACGCTGCCAGAGCGAGAGCACCTCGCAGGCCTCCTCGTCCTCCCCGCCTGCATCGCCCGTCTCCGCCTCCTCGTCCTGCTCCTCCTCCTCCGCATCCCCTTCCTCGTTGTCCAATGGCTACTCCTCCTCCTCCTCCTCCTTCTCCCCCTCCTCCTCCTCCTCCTCCTCCTCCTCCTCCTCCTCCTCCTCCTCCTCCTCTTCCTCCTCCTCCACCTCTCCTCCTCCCCCTGTTCCTTCTGAGTATGATCCGTATTTCCTCCCCCATCCTTGTTCAAACTCCTCCGCCCTTCTACCACACAAACACATCCCCCTGCCGCACCAACATTCGAGCCGTTGGAGCGGACCGAGCGATGTCGCCTGAGAGTTCCCCACTGTTTACGACATTGAAGCTCGTGGAAGCTTCCAACTGGCACACAAATGTAAAGCGAACTGGTTTGAAGATGGGCTCTCACCTTGGCGCCGCGCGCACTCATGCTAAGAGTGCCGTACACTCGCGCGGATGGGTGGCGACTCTCTCTCAACAGTGGACCCTCGCCTTCGCACCGAGCGCATCGTGTTAGAACGTCCAGCAGCTCAGCGGACGGAGGGCGGCTCGTCTTCACCAAGACGGGGCTCTCGCCTGCGACCTCCTCGGGCTCCCGCGGGCACGCGGACAGGGGGCGGCTCACCTTCCAAACGCGGCTGTGTCTGGGCACCTCCCTGAACCGTGTGGCCCCGCCTTGTCGCCCTGCGTACAGCTCGAAAGGTGGCGGGCCATGTCTCTCAAAAGCGAGCTCCCGCCGGAACTGCGGGCCAATGGCGCGTTCGGCTTCGGGCATTGCACGGAAAACCTTTGCAAGGGCTGACATGGGGGGGGCCCTGGGACGGCAGGGTGAGTTGCGGCATCGTTGGTACATCTTCGGTTTACGCAGGCCCTCCTCCTTCTCCTCCTCCTCCTTCACGTCCTCCTCCCTCTCCCCTTCCTCTTCGTCCAAAGCATTCCTCGTCTTTCTCCGCCTCCCCCTCCTCCTCATCATCCTCTCCCTTCTCCTCCTCCTCCTCCTCCTCTTCCCCCTCCTCCTCCTCCTCCCTCTCCTCCTCCTCCTCCTCCTCCTCCTTCTCCTCCTCCTCCTCCTCCTCCCACCTCCTCCTCATCCTCCTCCTCCTCTTCCTCCTCCTCCTACTTCTCCTCCTCCTCCTCCTTCTCATCCTCATTCTCTTCCTGCTCCTCCTCGTCCTCCTCCTCCTCATCCTCCTCCTTATCCTCTTCCTCCTCCTCCTGCTCCACCTCCTCCTCCTCCACCTCCTCCCTCCTCTTCGTCTCCTCCTCCTCCTGCTCCGCCTCCTCCTCCTTCTCCGCCTCCTCTCCTCCTCCTCCTCCTCCTCCTCCTCCTCCTCCTCCTCACCCTCACCCTCCTCCTCCTCTTCCTCCTCCTCCTCCTCATCCTCCTCCTCCTCCTCCTTCTCCTCCTCCTTCTCTTCCTGCTCCTCCTCGTCCTCCTGCTCATCCTCCTCCTCCTCCTCCTCCTCCTCCTCTCCTCCTCCTCCTCCTCCTCCTCCTCCTCCTCCTCCTCCTCCTTTTCCTCCTTCTCCTCCTCTTCCTCCTCCTCCTCCTCCTCCTCCTCCTACTCCTTCCCTCCCCACCCCTCCCCTCCCCTCCGCTCCCATTCCCACTCCTTTCTTCCGCTCAGTCTCCTCACGTGCCTGCTCCCAGTGCCCCTCCAGGAGGAGGACGAGAACGAGGACGAGGATGAAGATGAGGATGCGGATGTGGAGGATGACGAGGATGAAGACGAGAATGAAGATGAGGATGAAGCGGAGGATAATGGGGCGAGGAGGGCACTTAGGAAGGAGAAGAACAAGTGGGAAAAGGAGAATGAAAAAAGCAGGAGGAAGAGGAGGAGGAGGAGGATGAAAAAAAGCAGGAGGAGGAGGAGGAGGACCTGAAGTGGTATGGCTTAAGGGGTGCCTTAACCCTGTACCACTAGATGTGAGGGTACGTGCCACGGGATACCCCTAGTGGCATTACGTTGCCGCGCCCGCAACGGCAGCATGGCCGAGTTTCGGCCATCTATGCGGAAGGGTTCCTCGGGTGCCTAGTTTAGCCCTCGTTGTGAGGGCAGGATGCCGCAGAGTCCCCTGGAGACAGGAGTGGGCAAGGAGGAAGAGGAGGAGGAGGAGGAGGAGGAGGAGGAGGAGGCCGCACACCTCGCGGCGCCAGGAGGCGGGGGGCAGCAGGGGAGGGGATATGGAGGAGCCAGGCGCTGCCCGCGCCGAGCCCTGGCCCCGAGGGGCGGCCACGGCGCTTCCACTGGGAGGCCCAGGTGGCCCTCGCAGGGCCCAGGGGGGCCCAGCGAGGCGCGACGAGCGCTCGCCATCGCTTGGACGTCCATTCCATGTGTTTTTCTCGGTTTCGTGCGTGGTTTTCGCCAAATGATCAAGGATGCTCCTCGATGGTCCTCGCCGAAGGAAAAATGCACACGTCCGAGCGATGCCAAGAGCGGAGGGCGCCTGGGGCCACCTCGAAGCTTGGTGGTCCCCAAACGTGGTGGTGAGAACACCCGGTGGTGAGTTTTGGGCGATTTGGGTCATGGTTTTCGAGCGTTGGCTGGCCCAGGAGACGCAAAACCTCGTAGCGACCGCGTGTCCCCAAGCCCGGTGGTGACCCAGATTTATGTTTTGGGGGGAATCGGGGACACCACCGGGTGGCTCACCACCTGGTTTGGAGACCACCAAGAAGCAGGCCTCCGAGGGATGCCGCGGCCGAGGAGCGGCCGGGGAGCGGGCGGGGAGCGGGCCGCGCAGGGAGGGGAGCCAGCCGTCAGCCGCTCCCCCTGGGCGAGGCAGGGGGCCGCCGCCCTCCCGGGGATGCCCCCCCAGACTTGGGTCTGGCCTGTCCCCCTACAGGGGGGCTTTCGACGAAAATAAACTCCAAAAATGCTCCAAAAATGCACCAAAATACCCAAAAAGTACCCCCAACAATACCCCAAAAGTACCCCAAATGTACCCCAAAAAATACCCCAAAAGTACCCCCAAAAATACTCCAAACATAGTCTGGGGACTATGTTTCCATGTGTTTTGAACTTTTTGGAGGTATTTTAAAAATATGTGTAATGTTTCGTCGAACATCCCCCTGTATGGGGGACACGCCCGACATAACCGCAGACGGGGTGACGTGACCACACCGTGTGGTGAGTCGGCAGAACTCGGGGTCACCGCACGGTGTTGGGACCTGGGTCGTTCTCCGAGGACGTCTCGGGCGACTGGGGCCTCCAGGGTCCCAAAAGCGTGGGGAGACGGACCCTGCGGTGATGAATCTCTGGGAATAGTTCGAGGTCCCCGCCAGGCCTGGCACCGCACGGTTTGGGGGGCCCCCGATCTACTCCCCTGCCCCCCCCCCTCCGCCCCCTCCCCCAGGCGGGAGCCGCCACAGGGCCACCTCCGCCACGGAGCGACGGGGGGGGCGGAGGAACCCGCTCGAGCCAAGAAGCAAGCACGCACGACGGGAGGCGTTTCGCTGCTTTCGGCCTCTGGGGGCCCTCCCTCCTCCCTCCTCCCTCCTCCCTCCTCCCTCCTCCTTCTCCTCCTCCTCCTCCTCCTCCTCCTCCTCCTCCTCCTCCAAAAAAAAAACGCATGGATGAAACCTAAGACGGCCCCGGGGATTGGGTTCGGTCCGGACTCTTGAGGGGTCGCGCCATGAAAAGATCACGACGTCGGGGGTCTGGGGAGTGCGGGCGGAATCTCGAGGAATCCCGAGGCAAATTCGATTCGGAACGAAGGCAGCGGGCTCCGAGGGAAATGGCTCCCGGACCCAGGGGCTTCCCCGAAGGAACGAAGGAAGAGGGGCCCCGAGGGAAACGGCTCCCGGACCCGGGGGGCTTCCCCGAAGACCAGCTCTCCGCCTTGAGCTGTTGTGTTGACGGCCCCGGAGCACTTGGAAGGCCCCTGGGGACCCGAAACTTGCACAAACAAATTTAACTCAGGGCCCGTCTCCCTGAGGACCCGTTTGCTCCATGGCGACGGGTGAGCAGCGGAGTTCGGCGGAGGCAGGGAGGAGCGCAGCGACGGGGCGGCAAGAGCGATGGCACCGAACGAGCGGGACCACCTCGGCCACGGAGCGGCGGAGTGACGGTTGAAGGAAAGGACTTTGCATTAACAACGCTCCGACGACAAAGAACCGAATTCGCCCCCCCTCCACCCCCCGGCCTTATTGCTGGCATGCATTGCCATCGAGATCTTGGGTTCAGATTTTTTCCGGCCGCTCATCTCCTTTGGACACCCGAAATGGGTACCGAAAGAATGGGTACAATGCCCAACAACAAATGTTGTCCCAAGCCAACAGCGGCCGCTGTTGGGCAGGCGGCCTCCTGTCTCGAATGGACACAGGCCGCGGCGGCGCGGACAGCGAATCCGGTTCAGAATGAACAGGAACTGCTGTTGGGCATCGTACCCATTCTTTCCGTGCCCATCTCGGGCGTCCAGATCTCCGGGACCAACTGCTCAATAGAAAGGCCGGGGGGGGGGCGGGGGGGGGGTGTTCGAAGTGGTCCCCGAACTCTTAATGCACAGTTTTTTTCCTTCAGCGGGAAGGGCGAGGCGAGAGGCCGGAGCGACCCGAACGAGGGCGGGATCTCGAGGACTTCCGCGAGGAGAGCCCGTGGAGCCAAACGGTGCGCGAGAGGCAGGGAGGGATCGGCCCGGCGTGTCCTCCTGCAGGGGGATCTTGGGCGAAAAATCGGAACACCCTGAAAAGATTCAAACATAGCCCAAACCTACTGAACAGACATCGTCCCCCGACCATTCTTGGACTATTTTGACATATATGTTAGTCCCCCTGCAGAGGGACAGGCTCGACCTGCAGGGAGGGGCACGAGCGAGCGACGGGGAGCGACGCAAGGGAGCGAGCGACGAGGGCGAGCGCCAGAGCGAGCGCGGGAGCGGCGGAGGCAGCGAGCGGCGTGGCGCGCGACGGACACACGGCCGCCGCCCCGAGGTCCGACAGTGCAAGCAACAGCAAAAAGCAGAGAGCCAACGCATTGGAAAAAAACACGACGGAGGTTGTTCGCCAGTTTCGGCCTCTCTATACAGTCGAGGCGTTGACCTAAGGAACCCTAAATAAGGAACGAGGCCCCTATTTTCCATAAGTTGAACTTCGATTTCGTATCGAAAACCTGAGGAAAATCCAAGGCAATCTGCGAAACAATTAAGGAACACGGAGCCCCTCCCCAACGAAAAGGGTTCCTTCTTCAGGGCCCCGACTGTAGGGGCCCTCGCCGGGCCCTGGGACCGTCCAAAGACGAACCAGAATGAAGAACCAGTCCTAAGGAATGGGCCGAGACTTCCGGGGGCCCCGCATTGAGAAAATCACGACGTCGCAGAAAATCACGACCGGAGCCCCAGAGCCCATCTGTCTGCGTCATTTCTCGAGCCGCATCGATCTCTGGGAGGGTCCCGGGGGGGCCCGATCGGGCCCCCCCGGGACCCTCCCAGAGATCGATGCCCTCCCGTTGGGTCTCGGTTTCGAAACCGAGCGCCAACGCCCGGCGTGTGAGAAAAACCGACAACGCCAGGATCTCAGGGGAGCGGTGGAGGCAGGGAGGGGCGGAGCGACGGAGCGATGGGAGCGATGGGCCCAGACTGGAATCGGGCGTGTCCCCCTGCAGGGGGATTCTGAGGAAAAATCAAAGATACTATATCTTCAAAAAAAACATCCCAAACTAATCCCCAGACTATGTTCTTACGATTTTTGAATATATCTCCTGTGGAGGGACGGGCCCGACTTCAACCCAGACCCCCTCCGTCCGGATTTGTCCACGACGCGGCCCCCCAAGAGGCCCGGACCCCTCCCCCGTGGTCCCGTCTTCTCCTCCCGCGGGAGTCGTTTTTTGAAGGCCCCGAGGCCCGGGAAGGGCACCAAGATGCCCCGAAAGTACGGTGATTTTTTTTAGCAGTCGAAGCGAAAGTAACGTGGTGACGTGGAGCAAACGAATAGCAGGCATATGCCCAATGCGTTGTGAAACACATTCCGTTAGGAGTTCGTGCTTGTGCAACTTATACGGGAAAAGTGTGCCACACTAGCGTGGACATGGCTGGCTATCATGGCACAGCGCGCCAGAGGTATCTGAGGCCCCGAAAGTACGGTGATGGAATTAGATAAGGAAACCTTCGATGAGGAGTCCAGGGTCTGGAAGCCGGTGGAACTCCACTCGCGGATTGGCCACGGATCTCACCGCCGCCCTCCTCGAATAAGGAACCCTCCAGGGTCTGAAGCCTCCCGCGCACGTTCCTGAACCAATGCCTCCACCGCACTTCAGAATAGCGAAAAACCTCCCGTCGTGATTTTCTCGTTCGAGGAAAAAAACGATGCACATACCCCGATCCTGGCCAGGCCCATCCTGAGCCCAGGATCGGTGCGCACGCCCTCCCACCTCGGCCAGGAAGGCACAATTGTGCACCGATCATATGGGTCGAGGATGGGCCTTGCCGGGGAGGGAGGGGGGGGGGGAGAAGAGAGGAGAGGAGGAGGAGAGGAGAGAGAGGAGGAGGAGGAGAGGAGGAGGAGGGAGGAGGAGGGAGGAGGAGGAGGAGGAGGATAGAGGGAGGAGGAGGAGGAGGGGAGGGAGGAGGACATGTGCATAAGAAGTCTCTTCGCCCGATTCGTGGCCCAAAAAGGCCTGGGGAGCGATGGGAGCAGCGAGAGCGCGCGCTGGCCCACAAAACAAGGGCTCCCAAAGCTTCGCGCTCCGCGCGCTGCGCGAGAGCGCGAAGAGCGCGAGTCACTTCGCGCTCTCGCGCCGCCTCCCAGGGGAGAAGAGGACGATGAGGAGGAATCGGAGCCGAACCGCGAGGGCGCGAAGAACTTCGCGCTTCGCGCTTCGCGCTTCGCGCTGCGCGAAGCGCGAAGTGCGAATCACTTCGCGCTCTCGCGCCGCCTCTCAGGGGAGAGCAGTCCTCAAGAGGCCTAACCGTGTTAATTTGAGGGAGTTTCTGTGGAACTACCGTCATCCTCACCCCCGGCGCGGGGAGCAGAGGAGCCCAGAGCGGCGACAGATCCGCCGACGAATCCCAAACCGGCGCCCTCGCTTGAGACATCCCGGCGCCCTCGCTTGAGACATCCTCACAAAACCGGCCCCGGGGGAGGTGCCCAGAGGAGCCCAGAGCGGCCTCCGGCACCGTTTCCGGACAGATCCGCCGACGAATCCCAAACCGGCGCCCTCGCTTGAGACATCCTCACAAAACCGGCCCCGGGGGAGGTGCCCAGAGGAGCCCAGAGCGGCCTCCGGCACCGTTTCCGGACAGACAGATCCGGTGACGAATCCCAAACCGGCGCCCTCGCTTGAGACATCCTCACAAAACCGGCCCCGGGGGAGGTGCCCAGAGGAGCCCAGAGCGGCCTCCGGCACCGTTTCCCCGGATCCGGTGGATCCGCCGACGAATCCCAAACCGGCGCCCTCGCTTGAGACATCCTCACAAAACCGGCCCCGGGGGAGGTGCCCAGAGGAGCCCAGAGCGGCCTCCGGCACCGTTTCCGGACAGATCCGGTGGATCCGTGACGAATCCCAAACCGGCGCCCTCGCTTGAGACATCCTCACAAAACCGGCCCCGGGGGAGGTGCCCAGAGGAGCCCAGAGCGGCCTCCGGCACCGTTTCCGGACAGATCCGCCGACGAATCCCAAACCGGCGCCCTCGCTTGAGACATCCTCACAAAACCGGCCCCGGGGGAGGTGCCCAGAGGAGCCCAGAGCGGCCTCCGGCACCGTTTCCGGACAGATCCGGTGGATCCGGTGGATCCGCCGACGAATCCCAAACCGGCGCCCTCGCTTGAGACATCCTCACAAAACCGGCCCCAGGGGAGGTGCCCAGAGGAGCCCAGAGCGGCCTCCGGCACCGTTTCCGGACAGATCCGGTGGATCCGGATGACGAATCCCAAACCGGCGCCCTCGCTTGAGACATCCTCACAAAACCGGCCCCGGGGGAGGTGCCCAGAGGAGCCCAGAGCGGCCTCCGGCACCGTTTCCGGACAGATCCGGACAGATCCGGTGGATCCGCGCCCCGGGGGAGGTGCCCAGAGGAGGAATGAGGAGGAGGAGGAGGAGGAGGAGGAGGAGGAGGAGGAGGAGGAGGAGGAGGAGGAGGAGGAGGAGGAGAAGATGATGGAGCTGTGGGGTGGAGGAGGACAGACGGAGGCAAGAGAAGGATGGAGGAGGAGGAGGAGGAGGAGGAGGAGGAGGAGGAGGAGGAGGAGGAGGAACCTCATCCTCACCCTCGCCAACAAGCGCACGCACCTTCTTCTATATACAGAAACTCCCGATCAACCGCAGAGCGGCCGGCTAGTATCTTGTTTAGCCGCTGTCGGCGGCGGCTCCTGCCATTCGGGCCTGCTATCGTGCCTGAATTCGGTCGGCCAGAGCTTGCATTCTAGGGGTGTGGATTGAACCGCCCAGGGGGAGAAGAGGACGATGAGGGGAGAAGATTCCTCCTCATCGTCCTCTTCTCCCGGGGGGGAAGAGGACGATGGGGAGGAATCGGAGCCGAACCGCGAGGGCGCGAAGAACTTCGCGCCCCCCGAGGGCGCCCTTGCAAAAGGCCTGGGGAGCGACGGGAGCAGCGGGAGCGCGCGCCGGGCGCGGCCCGCCTCGCGCACGCGCGCCGGGCAGTGCGCCTCCACCTCGGCGCGGCGCGCCGCGCGCGCGCGCGGGCGGAGAGCCGCGCGGGCGCGGCGCGGCGGCGCGGGCGCGGCCCGGCACGAGGCGGGCAGGGCCCCGAGATCGGGGAGCTGCAGGCCGCAGGCCCAGACACCCCCTCGGGTCACTGGCCATCGCTCGGACGTCCATTCCCTGTGCTTTTTGTTTCGGTTTCGTGCGTGGTTTTTTCGCCAAATGGTCAAGGATGCTCCTGGATGGTCCTCGCCGACAGAAAAATGCCCACGTCCGAGCGATGCCAAGCTCTCGGGTCAGGGAAGAGTCACGGCGGCAGGTTTTCCTCATGATCTGCGGCCTCTGAGGGGGCCCTCGCCGGGCCTCGCGGGGCCGTCAGAAGACGGCTCGGGGTGGAAAAAACGGGTCCCGGGGAGGAGGTCCGGACCTCTGGGGGTCGCGTCGTGAAAAAATATCATGGCGTCGGGGGTCCGGGGAGGAGGCAGCGGGCGCTGCACCCCCGAGATCCTGGCGCTGCACCTCTGCTCGCGACGGGCGCTGCCGCTCCCATTTCGGGCCCCCGGGAGCCTCCCAGATCGATCCGGCTCGAAAAGGGACGCAGAGAGATGGGCTCCAGGGCTCTGGCCATCGCTCGGACGTCCATTCCCTGTGCTTTTTTTGGCTTTGTGAGTGGTTTTTCCGCCAAATGATCAAGGATGCTCCTCGATGGTCCTCGCCGAGGAAAAAATGCACACGTCCGATTTTTTGCTACCCTCCGCCTCGGCATCCCGCCGGCTGTATGCAAGAGCGGCCCCGGGCAAGAGTGACCCCTGGCGCGCGACGCTCGGGGGCCGCGGGGAGGCCGAGCAGGAGCGCACAAGCCGCTGCCATCGCACCGCATCCCGCCAGCTGGGGGCCCCAACGTGCCAACACCAGAGGTCCCTCTGGCGCACTCTCACGTGGCGCCGGTGAGGGGGGCCCAGTGCGGCCCCCCGTGTCATCAAACACTGACCTGGGGGGAAAGAAACTACTCTTAGGTCGGGCCTGTCCTCCTACAGGCGGATTTTGGACGAAAGATACCAACATAGTCCGACAAGTATTCTAAAATAGTTCAAAATGATTCGGAACATCGTTCCTAAACTATTTTTGACTATTCTTGAATACTCCTCTTGTAGAGGGACCGGCCCGATTTAAAACTACCCCCCAAAACAAAAAAGGATCCGGACCTCTGGGGCCCGCGGGTCGGAGCAGATCACGTGGCGGACGCCGGAGACCCTGGGCCGAAAAAAATACTGGCACCTCTTGGGGGCGCATCCTTTACTTCCGCCACCTTCCGCCGCCCCTCCTTTTTTTCCCAACCATCCTGTAGTGTTGGGTCCTCGTTTCGAAGAGACGGTGCCCCGCGTCTCCTCCTCCCGCTGCCCCCTCCCTCCTCCCCCTCATTGACTCTGCTCTCGGCTCACCTCTCACACGTTTCGTAACCTCATGGGGAGCTCCACCGAAGGCCCCAGGGGTTGCTCTCGTATGCGGTTCCCCCACCCAGGGCAGCGCTTCGTGGCCCCATGGGGAGCTCCACCGAAGGCCCCAGTGGCTGCTCCCGCATGCGGTTCCCCTACCCAGGGCAGCGCTTCGTGGCCCCATGGGGAGCTCCACCGAAGGCCCCAGTGGCGCAGTTCGCACGCGGTTCCCCCACCCAGGGCAGCGCTTCGTGGCCCCATGGGGAGCTCCACCGAAGGCCCCAGTGGCTGCTCTCGCATGCGGTTCCCCCACCCAGGGCAGCGCTTCGTGGCCCCATTGGGAGCTCCACCGAAGGCCCCAGTGGCTGCTCTCGCATGCGGTTCCTCCACCCAGGGCAGCGCTTCGTGGACCCATAGGGAGCTCCACTGAAGGCCCCAGCGGCGCAGTTCGTATGCGGTTCCCCCACCCAGGGCAGCGTTTCGTGGCCCCATGGGGAGCTCCATCGAAGGCCCCAGTAGCGCAGTTCGCACGCGGTTCCCCCACCCAGGGCAGCGCTTCGTGGCCCCATGGGGAGCTCCGCCGAACGCCCCAGTGGCAGCTCTCGTATGCGGTTCCCCCACCCAGGGCAGCGCTTCGTGGCCCCATGGGGAGCTCCACCGAAGGCCCCCGTGGCGCAGTTCGCATGCGGTTGCCCCACCCAGGGCAGCGTTTCGTGGCCCCATGGGGAGCTCCACCGAAGGCCCCAATGGCGCAGTTCGCATGCGGTTCCCCCGCCCAGGGCAGCGTTTCGTGGCCCCATGGGGAGCTCCACCGAAGGCCCCAGTGGCTGCTCTCGCATGCGGTTCCTCCACCCAGGGCAGCGTTTCGTGACCCATAGGGAGCCCCACTGAAAGCGGCACCCACAACGCGTTACGAACACTTGCTTATGGTTGGGTCCTTCGCCAGGATAATTTCAACGCGACTCCCATAGCCTAGGAAGTCTAGCGGGGGCTCCAGCAACCACCGAGTAAACGGCGCGGCGCGACCCGGGCCGATCGAGGCCCTGGAAGCGCACGGCGGGCACGGGGCGACAGGCGGCAGGCCGCAGCCCCGCTCCCGCCGCCCCCCCTTGTTCAGTGCGCTGCGCCCAGACACCTTCGGAGGGACGCTCCGTGAGGGGCCAGGGGTAACATCCACCGATCGTCGGCGCACGATGTGTCTATTCATAGCGAGGGCTTGGGCCCTGACGGGAGCGCAGAGGAGGAGGAGGAGGAGGAGGAGGAGGAGGAGGAGGAGGGGGAGGAGGGGGAGGAGGAGGAGGAGGAGCAGGAGGAGCAGGAGGAGGAGGAGGAGGAGGAGGAGGAGGAGGAGGAAGAGGAGGAGGAGGAGGAGGAGGAGGACCTGACGGGAGCGCAGAGGGCAGGGTAGGAGCTGGCTCCCGCCGCCCCTCCGCCGGCGTCCGCCGACCCTCGGCCGCCTCCCGCCGAGGAAGGGGCAGCCGCTCCTGCGTTCCTCGAAGGCGGCGCGCTCTCGGGCACGCCTGATTGGCGTCCTCGGGTGTCCGGGCACCGGTGCTAGCAGTCAGGACGGTCCTGGGCGCAGGATCGGCGCACGGAGAAAGCGGAGGAGGAGGAGGAGGAGGAGGAGGAGGAGGAGGAGGAGGAGGAGGAGAAAAAGGAGGAGGAGAAAAAGGAGGAGGAGAAAAAGGAGGAGAAAAGGAGGAGGAGCAGGAGGAGGAGGAGGAGGAGGAGGAGGAGGAGGAGGAGAAAAAGGAGGAGGAGGAGGAAGGAGGAGGAGAAGAGAGGAGGAGGAGGAGGAGGAGGAGAAGAGAGGAGGGAGGAGGGGGGAGGGGGGAGAAGGGAGGAGGGAGGAGGAGGAAAGGCCTCCCTGGCCGGGCCGGGAGGTGCACGCAGCGATCCTGGGACCAGACTCGGCCAGGTCAGGGATCGGTGGAGCCCCCTGCAAGGCGGTGCGGTACGGTCGGGCTGCTGAAAGACTTAGCGGCGCGCAAGGGGGGGTAGGAGGAGGGGGGAAGGTTTCTTAGAAGCACCCCTGCTTCTTAGAAGGCGCTGGCCTCACGTCTATAGAGAAGGCCAGCGCCTTCTCAGAAGCAGGGGTGCTTCTAAGGAGCCTTCCCCACTCCTCCTACCCCCCTCTGCGCGCGGCCGAAGGAAGGAGCGCCAAATGAGGAGGAGTCCCTTCCGAACCCACAGCGGCCCTTCTATATCTCAGCGCCTTGGCTGCAGACGGAGGCTGGTGGAGATTGCTATGCAGGGCGATGCAGGGTCCCCTGGTCTTGTTTTGAGCAGGGACCGACCGTCCTGGCATCCCTGTAGTCCTACCACGAAATGTTCTTAGAGCCCCAACATGTTCTAAGAACAAAAACAATGTTCTTAGAACATAAACCTGATGTGTTAAAACAAGACAGTCCCAGCCAGACATGTTCTAAGAACACTTCGTGGAAACCACAAAAGGTTCTTAGAACATTGTTTGGTAGGGCTATTATAGGCGAGCCGGGACGCTTCGCCACTGCTTGAAGGGTTCCCTGGTCTGGTTGGCGGAGTCGGACACGCCGGCGAAGGACGGGCGAGGCTCTGGACAGCCACCCCGGGATCTGGGAGCGACGCCCCAGGCAGCTGCAGACCGAGAGGAGCGCAGCTGGAACTGCCTTGCACTGGCGCGGGAATCGGCAGCGTTGGTCACGACCTCCCTGGGCCCTCTTGTGGCCAAGCTGGGCACTCGGGCGAGCGAGCCCAGAATCGAATCGATAAGTCGGATCGGCGATCGGCATGAATCGGATCGGCGGACATCGGCAGCCGAGTCGGGGGAAGTCGAATCGGCGGAAACCGGCCGGCGAGTAGGCCTCCTTTGAGACATCGAAATCCAAGCCGGCATCCATCGACATCGAAGCGGATCGAATCGGAGGACTCGCAATCGGCCCTGCTCGGAGAGGGCCACCTGGGCCCGCCTGGGCTGCCACGGGCCCTCTCGGCCGTCAGGCGCGCTGGTGGGACAGAGGGAGGCGGCCACGCGTGGAAAGGATGCCCAGGTCTGCCCTCGTCCTGCCGCCAGCCGGTTCGCCAGCAAGCGAAGCTGCCCACATCGCGCCAAAAAAAGACGTGTGGATGTCCGGCATTGGCGGTCCCAAGACCCCATGAACGAAGACGCCCAAATCGTGCAGAAAATACGCGTTGATTCAGGGGGGGCAAAAACACACAGACACAATTAATCGTCGAGTCCCAGGAAAATATGGGAAATATGGGAAGGTGGGGGAAGACAAAAAACCTGGAAAATATGGGAAAATATTGGGAATATTTTTATTTGTGTGGATTCACTTGTGTGTCCTGGGGCCCTTTGATTGATGTCCAGCAGTGGCGTCTTGTTGCCCTCTTCGGGGCTTCGAGGTGGCCCCCCCCGGCGGCTTCTGAGGGGGCGTTCTGGCGGCCGCCCGGGACCCCTTGCGGGCCTCGCGGGGCTCCCGCTGCGCTCTCCAGGGCGTCCTGGGCCTGCTGTGGGGGTCGCCTGGGAGCTCTTGAGAGGACACCTCTCGGGGGCCTCGTGGGGCATCCTTGGTGCCTCCAAGGCGCCATTGGAGCCACCTCGGCAAAGGAGGAATACCAACGCCTTCAAAACCAGAACTCAATTGCGCGTTTGACTGCTTCTGCCCGTCCAGAAGTCCCTCCTGAGCAATGCTGAAACTCCGCGCCGTCCGACCTCTCTCCTGCTCCCACCCAGAAGCGCTCCTGCGGGCACGTCCCGCGATGGCTTCAGCACGGCCCCCACGTGCCCCAAAACGGTGATCAGAAGAGGAAGAGGAGGAGGAGGAGGAGGAGGAGGAGGAGGAGGAGGAGGAGGAGGAGGAGGAGAGGAGACGAGGGGAGGAGGAGAGAGGACGGAGGAGGAGGAGGAGGAAGGAGGAGGAAGAGGGAGGAGAGGGAGGAGGAGGAGAAGGAGGAAGGAGGAGAAGGAGGAGGAGGAGGAGGGAGGGAGGAGGAGTACAGGAGGAGGAGGAGGAGGAGGAGGAAGAGGAGGAGAGGAGGCAAGGAGGCCTCAAGCCCCGACCCCCGGCGCTGTGCCGTTCGAGCCACCCTGGACCCTGGCAGGCCTCGGTCCCTCCCCAGACTGGAGGTTACCGTGCCCGGCCTGCGGCGGTGGGACGGTCGCACCGCGGCCGAAGCGCCAAGCGGGCCGCGGAGGCGCGAATTACGCTCTGAAGATCTCCTCCTCTTCCTCCTCCTCCTCCTCCTCCCTCCTCCCTCCTCCTCCTCCTCCTCCTCCTCCTCCTCCTCCTCCTCCCCTCCTCCTCCCCCCTCCCACCTCCTCCTCCTCCTCCTCCTCCTCCTCCTCCTTCTCCTCCTCCTCGAAGGCGCGGAAGAAGGAGAGCTGTTCGGCACACTCCTCACTCGGTTCGCGGTCCCAGGGGCCAGCTCGAGGGGCCAGACCCGTCTGAACCACCCGAGTGGTAGCGTGGGTTCTGTATCCTCATCGCATCGGTCGCAAGACCGTCCAGAACCGCCCAGGGACCCCCCAAGAACTCACCGGGCCCCCGAAAGGGGCCTGCAGAAAGCATGCCACCGCCGCACCGCCGGAAGCCAACCGTCCAACATGACAGACAGAGACCCCCGACAGGCCCACGAGGGGCCCCGAGACGCACCCAAAGGGGCACAAACTCCCCCAGAGCCCCCCCCCCCCAACAAGCCTCCCACGATCCGCCAGCATGCCCCCACGGCCTCTGCAAAGACGCCCCGACGCAGCGTGTCGGGATCGGCCGAGGGCCATTCTAGTGGTTCCGCTCTCGCGCAAAAGCCGCCCGTGCTCGCTCCTGGCCCTCGTACCCCCCTTTCCGCCCCTTGCGCCCAGGCTGCTCATCGCTCAGGGTCGGCGGAACCGGCCGCAGGGCCTCTGCAATAGTCATCAGGCAGTCCGCCGTGTCGGAACGAACGAAACCAAAAAAGGGCAGAGACCGTGACAAGCATCAGAAGTCGTGTCAAAATCTTGGGGCAGACATCGACGTGTGCTTGTGCAGGAAGAAATGCCAACATAGATACAACAAGGTATCATAATGTGTTTGGGCATTTGTTTGCGGCACCCTCGCGGCACCTTCCACCGAACCGTTCAACCCATATCATTTGAATGTGGCACCCTGGCGGATATGGCTTTGGATCCAAGTCGCCATCGATATCGATGGGAGCAAATCGAAATGGGGAAGACAAAAAGTACCGATACCGCTACTCCCTGGACCTCTCCCAGGATACGTTCTGACCGCGATTCCAAAGCGAATCCAGCGGTGGCGACGAGAGCCTCCAGGGAGTCCCAAAAAGGGGAAACAAGGGAAGGCTAGCGGTATAGGTGCCTCTCGACTGCATGCAAGAGTGACCCTGGGTAAGAGTGACCTTTGGTGCGCGGTGTTTGGGGGGCCGCGGGGGGACCAAACACAGGCACGCAAAACTCTACTGCCGTCCCGCGTTCGGCGATCGGGGGACCCCTATGTCGCCCGCACAAGAGGTCACTCCGGCAAAGGGTCACTGTTGCGTCTAGTCGAGCCTCTCCCTCCGACGAATTCTGTGACGGTCGCGATTTTTTCATCCTTCGGTGGAGGAGAGGGCGCGCGAGCGACGAAGACAGCACACACGGCCTCCAAGGCGCGCCGCCGCCTGCCCGAGCGGCGCCTGCCCGAGCGGCGCCCGCGCGGCCAGCACAAGTGCACAGGCCGGCGGCGCGCTCGGGCGAGGGCAGGTCTGGCGCTCCGCCGAGGCGCAGCGCTCGGGCGCAGGGAAGCTACTTGTTCCACTGCTCCTCCCCTGCCTTGCTGCCGCTGCCCCTCCGTCTCCCTCTGCTCAGCTAGCGTGTGGGGAGACACGTGCCCTGAGGGAAACGGGTCCTGCATGAGAGGCTTGTGTCGCCGTTCTCGGGCTCCTGGGGGTCTCCAGGGGCCTCGGGGCTGCCCGAGAACGGCCCAGGATGGGCACGTGGTCCTGGGGAAGGTCCCGGGGCCCAGGACCACCCGCTTGCTCCTCCTGCGTCGCTCTCTGCTATGGCCCCGGGGCCCGTGGAGGGCCCCGGGATGCCCGCAGGCGCCGACAAACACCTCGGGCCCCGTCTCCCCCCCGTGGCGACTTGTTCCCCTCGTGACCTGAGCTCGTGCCCCCCCGGGGCTTCGACGGGGCAGGCGCGAGGAAAAGGGCGCCCCGCCCTCGGCCAGGCTTGCGGCCGAGGGCGGCCCCCGCTGGCGGCGGGGAGGCGTTGCATTTGCGTGATGTGCGCGCGCGCGCGGAGGAGTGGATGGGCATCGTGGAGCGGATCCCTATCCCCACCGGCGTGGCTCTGGCCCCACTGGCACTTGCCCACCCAGACGGGGAGATGCGTCGCTTCCGTCGGCCTTCGCGGGGCCTCGCTCTCCCCGCCTGGGTTGGTGAGCTGGTGGGACTTGCGTGCAGTCGGACCAAGGCCAGAAGAACGCCCCTCAAGAACATGAGACCCTCCGTCGGCCAAGCCAAATCACTTCCCCTGTGACGTACCCAACCCATGTGCATCAAGTGGCACGAGAAGGTGGCCCGAATCTGCCAGGACAGCGACAGTGCAGGCGCCGTCATATGTTGCTCAATATACATGGGATGCGCCCACGTGGCACGATTCACAGGACAACAACAAAAGGACGAGGAGCGAGGGCCCAGGCTTGAGGAGGACAATGGGTGCGGGAACGAAGGGCAGGAGAAGGACGCGTGGGGGGCCGAACCGTCAGCGCGGCAGCAGCAGACGGAAGGTGGCAGGGGGCAGAGGACGACGACGAAAGTAACGGGAGGAGGCCGACTAGTGTTGCTATTGTCGGTAGCACGCTACAGATGCAGCGCTGCCTGCGCCATGTCGCCGCGGCGCTCGAACAAAAACATCAGACCTGCGTATAGTTAGTGCCAGACGCGAGCGAGGCCCAGCTCGGCCGCCAGCTTCTCTGCTTCTCCCCTGACGACCCCGAGATCCGAAACAACCCCCAAGTAACAGAAAACGGCGTCACTCCGCTGGGCCCCAGGGATGGCGAGGTCTCCTGGTGGTCCGCGTAAGAATTCATTCCGCTGGACACCCCAGCAGCCCTCGAAAGTGGCGACAGTTTCGCAGATCGCAGCCCCCCAAGGATGGCGAGGTCGAATCTAAATCTGCGTGGTGCCTCACTCCGCTGTACCCCGCAGCCCTCGAAAGTGGCGAAAGTTTCGCGGATCGCAGCCCCCTGAGGATGGCGAGGTCGATTCTAAATCTGCGTGGTGCTTCACTCCGCTGGACCCCGCAGCAGCCCTCGAAAGTGGCGACGGTTTCGCAGATAGCAGCCCCCCAGGGATGGCGAAGTCTAATCTGAATCTGCGTGGTGCTTCACTCCGCTGGACCCCGCAGCAGCCCTCGAAAGTAGCGACAGTTTCGCAGATCGCAGCCCCCCAGGGATGGCGAGATCTAATCTGAATCTGAGTATGGGTGGTGCCTCACTCCGCTGGACCCCCCAGCAGCCCTCGGAAGTAGCGACAGTTTCGCAGATCGCAGCCCCCCAGGGATGGAAATCTGATCTGAATCTGGGTGGTGCCTCACTCAACTAGAACCCCCAGCAGCCATCGACAGTGGCGAACGTTTTGCTGATCGCAGCCCCCCACGGATGGCTAGGTCTAATCTAAATCGGGGTGATGCCTCACTCCGCTGGACCCCCCAGCAGCTCTCGAACTCGACGACAAATTCGCAGATCACAACTCCACAGGGATGGCGAGGTCTTATCTGAATCTGGGTGGTGCCTCATTCCGCTGGACCCCCAGCAGCCCTCGAAAGTGGCGACTCCGCTGGACCCCCCAGCATCAAAATCTGCGTGGTGCCTCACTCCGCTGGACCCCCCAGCAGCTTTCGAAATTGGCGACAGTTTCGCAGATCGCAACTCCCCAGGGATGGCGAAGTCTAATCTGAATCTGCGTGGTGCTTCACTCCGCTGGACCCCGCAGCAGCCCTCGAAAGTAGCGACGGTTTCGCAGATCACAGCACCACAGGGATGGCGAGGTCTAGTCTGAATATGGGTGGTGCCTCACTCCGCTGGATCCCCCAGCAGCCCTCGAAAGTGGCGACAGGTTCACAGATCGCAGCCTCCCAGGGATGGCGAGGTCTAATCTCAATATGGCTGGTGCCTCACTCGACTAGACCCCCCAGCAGCCCTCGAGAGTGGCGAACGGTATGCAGATTGCAGCCCACTGGGGCTGGCGAGGTCTAATCTGAATCTGCGTGGTGCCTCACTCCGCTGGACCCCCCAGCAGTTCTCGAAAATGGCGACAGTGTCACAGTTCGCAGCCCCCCAGGGATGGCGAGGTCTAATCTGAATCTGGGTAGTGCCTCATTCCGCTGGACCCCCAGCATCCCTCGAAAGTGGCGACAGTTTCACATATCGCAGCCCCCCAGGGATGGCGAGGTCCAAGCTGAATCTGCGTGGTGCTACACTCCGCTGGACCCCCCAGCAGCCCTCGAAAGTGGCGACAGTTTCGCGGATCGCAGCTCCCCAAGGATGGCGGGCGGGGTCTAATCTGAATCTGGATGGTGCCTCACTCCGCTGGACCCCCCAGCAGCCCTCGGAAGTGGCGAACGTTTCGCGGATCGCAGCCCCCTGGGGATGGCGGGGTCTAATCTGAATCTGGGTGGTGCCTCACTCCGCTGGGCCCTCCAGCAGCTGTCGAAAGTGGCGACAGTTTCGCAGAACGCAACCCCACAGGGATGGCGAGGTTTAATCTGAATCTGGGTGGTGCCTCACTCCGCTGTACCCCCAGCAGCCCTCGAAAGTGGCGCCAGTTTCGCAGATCGCAGCCCCGCAGGGATGACCAGGTAGGAGGCAAGCTGGCACGCAAGAAGGAGCGAGGTAAGAGGCAGGTAAGAAAGATGAGAGGAGGAGAGAGGCGGCAAAGAGACGTGCGCGCAGTGCTCTATTTAAAACGAGTACTCAACGCAGGAGGGTTGAGAAAACAAGTAGGAGGAGGAGGAGGAGGAGGAGGAGGAGGAGGAGGAGGAGGAGTAGGAGGAGGAGAAGGAGGGGGCCCTCATCTGGCGGCGAGCTGCGAAAGGTAGAGGGAGGAGGGAAAAGGAGAGGAGGAAGGAGGCGGGAAGGAAGGAAGGAGGTGTGCGACCGCAGTGATCTATTCCAAACGAGTGCCCAACGCAGGAGGGGTGGCAACAGAACGTCCAAGGGCACCCTCCCCAGGATGCACAAGAACGCCCAACAAGCGCGAAGACCACGAGGCGAACGACCCTCCCCGATCCGACCTCGAGATCCTGCGCCTCGGCCCGACGGCGCCGCTTGCCCCGTGGCGAGGGAGGTCGCTTCCACGATGCCGAGTTGGAGGCGGCCGCCTGGCGCGCCCGCGGGGTCCCTCTCTGACTACCCACCAGACCACCCCAACCCAACCCGAAGAACCGAACTTCGGGTTGGGGGGGGTAAGGGTGCCACCTGTTTTTGTTCGACGCTCCCCGACCCCCCCCCCACCGGAAAAATCGAGGGCAACTCTGAGCCTTCGGGTGGGGTCGGGGGTGGTTTGCTGGGTGGTGAATCCCTGCCGCGCTCAGCTCAGCCGACCGCCTGCAGTTGCGCGGGCGCGGCGACGCTGGCGGCCACGGGCGAGGCCGGGCAGCCCGCGCGCGCAGCGGCCTCCCGGGGCCCGCTGGGCCGGCACCTGGCGGCCGCCGGCCGCGCCCGCCCGGCCGGGCGCGCCTGCGGCACGCTGCGCATCGGCACCTGCTGCAGCCGCACGGCCGCGTGGCCGGCGCCCGGCTTGGCGAAGGGGTCCTGCCGGCGCCCCGCCCTCTTACAGGGGCCCCACTATAGCGGGCACCTTTGACGAACGAACAGCACACACCCATACCCATGAGGGGGTCGTTGGGAGGAGGACCGGCTATGGGTATGGGTGCGGGCTGTCGGACCCTAGGGAACGCTCCCGTTCGAGCGGGGACCCCCCTCCGACAACACGCACCCATACCGACCCCCCTATGGGTATGGGTGTGTGTTGTTGGTTCATCAACTTTGGCCAGTGCCCCGGCGAACCCAACCCTCCCCGATGTGGGCAACGCTGCAACATGCCAGAACGAGGCCCTGTAAAGTGGCAACTTAAGTCGGCAAGGTTCCACGAAGTGCCCGTCAGTGCGCACCCATTACAATGCCGCCTTCGGGGATCTCCTGACCCGGGTCAATCCAGACCCGGCTCACTCAGGCCTGTCGAGATCCTGCGAGATCCTGCAGGATCTTGCAGGATCCTGCACCCCAGCCCCGGGTCAGGTGCGACCCTCTGGCCCTGCAGGACCCTCCAGGATCCTGCAAGACCCAGCGCTCTGACTGATCCCCGTTGGCATGGACTCCCATCTCTTGAGCCCCGTCCCCTGAGATCCGACGTAGCGAAAAAATACATCGTGAAAATCTGCGCCCGGAGCCCCAAACCTCATCTTTCTGCGTCATGTTTCGAGCCGCATCCATCTGTGATCGGGTCCCCGGACCCGAAAAGGCGAAAACGCCCAGTTCCCAAAAAAATTGTCGCCAGGATCCCAGGGCCCAAACATGCGACGTCCTGATATTTCTCAGTACGGGGCCCCTGGAAGTCCCGACCCCTTCCCCGGGGCCGGTTTTTCACCCTGCGTCCTTTTCTGCCGACCCCGAGGCCCGGCGAGGGCCCCCCGAGGCCGAAACTGGCCCCAAACATCCCGTTTGTGAACTTTTCGCGACGCGATGCGATGCACGTCTGGGGGGAGGGGGGAGGTCCTTGGGAGGAGCGGCCACCGGGGAGGCCACGCCGCCGTAGAAGCTCCCGCCCTCGCGGCCGAGCAGGAAGCTCCCGCCCTCGCACGCCACCAGGGGGCCGCCGGCACCCCCGGGCGCGGCGCGCACCGCGTGGGCCTCGCGCCGCTCGCACGCGGGGGCCCCGGGCGCGGCCACCACGGAGGGCCCGCGCCTTGTTGGTTGTTTTTTTCTGTATATTTATGTGTGCACATATATATATATATATAAATTGTGTAAATGTACATGCGTACATGTGTATATTTATATGTGTGCATGTGCATGTATGCGTATATATATATAGAGAGAGAGAGAGAGAACAAAAAATGTGTATGCATATATATATATATACGTATATATATATATACGTATACAAGACTGCATTGGCGCTTCGCGCCAATGCGTTCTTGTTCCGGACCATTCTCGGAAGAACAATAAGTCATCGCGTGTTTCCGCAGAGGGGGCGTCGAGGTCTGGGCGGGCGACTGGCGCATGTTTCTGCTATCCCTGGACCTTGCTAACGCTGCGTTCGCCCGATGGGCTTGCACGCCTGTGCGCAGAAGTGGGGATGGAAGGGTTCACGCGCGAATGTGCTGGCACACGGCGAAGCATCAAACGGTTGCGATGGCACCTGTCTTCGGGTGCGAACCACTCGTTTCCATGACAACGACGACGCAGACGACGAAGACGACGACGACGACAACAACGACGACAACGACACGCCGTCATATTTTACAACAGGGGCAGAATAAGCGGTGGAACATGTATGCGGCTGGAGGGCAGCCCACTTCTTCCTCTTCCTCTTCTTCCTCCTCTTCCTGCTCCTCCTCCTTTTCCTCCGCTTTCTCCTGCTCCTCCTCTCGGGCAGGCCGCGGGAGCGAGCGTTGGGGGCGTCAGTAAGCGGGCTACGCAGCAATGAGGCGGCAGCCCGCGATGACAGGTCGAGACCTCCTGCTCCTCTGTAGGACGACGAAGACGACGACGACGACGACGACGACGACGACGACGACGACGACGACGGCGGCGGCGACGACGATTGGTCGCTTCCTGAATGCCTGGAGGGGTCCTGGACGCTTGAGGGGCTTCTGAGGTCCTTTCGAACCACCGTCCTGCTAACTACGGCATCGTGGAGTGTAAGAGAACTGCTGGTAGCTATATTGGCACGGTGTGGGCTCGCGTTTGAGATCCTGGTGACTCTCCGGACCAAAGAACTCCTGGGGGCTGTTTTGGGCCGTCTTGGAGACCTCTTGGGCCGTCCCGGAACCCTCTTGTGGCCGTTTTTGGAAGCCGGACCGGCCAGGGGCTTTTCGGAGGCCCTCTTGGGGCACTCTTGGGGGCCTCCTGTGGCTCTCTTGGGGCTCTCTTGGGAGTTTTCGTGGCCCTCTGGGGTCCCTCTTGGGCCGCCTTGGGCTTCTCTCGATCCGTCTTGGAGCCCTTTTGGGCCGCCTTGGGCCGCTCATAGAGGCCTCGGAGGCCGTCCTGAGGCGATCTTGAGAGTCTCTGGGGATGCCGTGGACGCTGCGAAAGCGGAAAAAACTAATAGATTCAAAAGCGTACGTTTCCTCAGGGAATGGGGCGATATTTGGCTCTTGAGGGTCCCTTTTGGGCCGTCTGGGACAATCTTGGGGGCCCCGTGGGCCGTCTTGAAACCATATTGGGTCCTTTTTGAGCGCTGATGGGCCGTCTTGGGGCCCGTTTTGGACCCGTGGGCTCCGATCGGCAGGGGCGTCGAACTGCCCAGAAGATCGCCGGGACTCCGAAAGGGCGTCCAGGGCGCTCGTCGGGTGGAGGGCAGGGGCGTCTAGGGTGTCCTTGGGGGGGGTCCAGTTTAGAGGGGGGTGGTCCGGGTAATCAAAATATAAGAATAGGAAAATGTATAGAGAGAGAGGGAGACATACATACATACATACATACATACATACATACATACGTACGTACGTACGTACATACGTACGTACATACATACATACATACATGCAAGCAATCATACATGCATACATACACATACACATACACATACAGATCTGCATACATGCAACTACATTTGTGTGTACATAACACACGACTTCATGGACTTGTGCATACATGTACACAACATAGGCACATCTAGATCTGTATACATATACATGTACACAAACATATACACATAGACAAACACATGCATATACATATACATACATAGGTACACGTAAACCTATACGTTAACTAGTACTAGCATGGATGGTAATAACAGTAAAAAGTGATAAAACGAATTATATTGATGATAGTACTGCAAGAAGACGAATGGTAATAACCAAAAATAAGCATGATGACAAGATTACTAGTACGAGCGACAATAACAATAAGAGTACGCATACTGATAATAATACGATTACTAGAATAGATGTATGTACTACTACGACTCAAAAACAAAAATAGGGGAGAATAATTAGAATACGAATAATGCAAGTGGTAAATGAATAGTAGCAGTTTTTTAAGGAACCCACTAGCAGTAATAATCATTACAACGAACATGCGAATTGCAAAATGCGATAACAATAGTACGAATCCTGAAAAAAACAGATGCTAGTACTAAGAGTACATATCAGCACATTCATACGAATATCACCGATCCCAACAGTAGCATATATATATATAATACGAATATGGTAACATAGATCGCAACACATATGCCTACTCAAGGTATAAGAACATCTGAATATGAACACCAATGGTACATTGCAAAATAACGATCATAACACATGCAAATCACAACATATATACTGAGAAGAGCAAGATAATTAATAATACGTGTAACAATGAAAAGTATACGAATACGAACAGTAGAAGGAACACATAACATGAATAATATTCCGAACACCAATCTTAAGAATGGTGTTGGTATAAATGCATATCTATACATATATGTAGAATCTGATAACACCAAAAATACGAATGACGACACACGTGATACATACATAGATTGCGAATTACGATAATAATACAAGTCCAAAATAAATAATAATAGTTATGCTAGAAATGGTAAAAACGAGATGATGCTGATAGCGATAGCAGCGATAACAAGAATAATCATACCAAGAATACGAAGAACAATCGACCAATGATACGAGTACGCATCACAAGGCTATGACTAGCAATAATGAATAGCATAACATCAATGACAATGCCAACATGGCTATATAGACGAATCTACACATATAGTTATATAAATAAATAAATAAATAAATACATAAATAAATAACACGCGTGGGTGTGTGCTTCAGTAACATTATTTGTCCACGCAGGGCCCGCGCCTCAGGGCCGCGGCCGCCTCGCGGGCGTTGGCGGCGCCGGAGGCCCGCTGTAGCAGGCCGAGGAGCGGCTCGCCCGGGCCGAGGGCCTCGTCGGCCCCCGCGGCCCCGCGGCCGAGCTGGAAGGCCAGCGGCTCGCCGTCCCGGAAGCCGACCTACAGGGCAGTTTTCTGATACACAGGATGTTTTTTTTTTTCTTGTTTCTTGTTTGTCTTTTTTCTTTAAAAAAAGAAAAAAGATTTGGAATACATGATTATGTTATCAATAACTGTATGCATGAACTCGTCGTTGCTCGTAATACGAAATCCCTGCATTTTTTAAATACATGATCCGCACGCGGAGCATGTATTCAAAAACGGCACTGTGCAGTCGGGGCGCTGACTCAAGGAACCCTGCATGAGGAACGATGCCCCTTTTTTCTTACACGTAACCCTTCGATTCTCCATCGAAAAACTAGGCGAACTATGAAACAACTGAGGAACACTGAGCCCCTTTCCGAAGGAAAGAGGTTCCTTTTTCAGACCCCCGACTGTATCAGATACACTGTTCTTCTCAGGGTCAAGCTATGAAGAAAATCCTAGAGGCCTTGCGCGGCAACTTGAGACCCGACTTACGTCGGATCCACGTCGGATTTACGTCGGGCTCACGTTGAACAACGTTGGATTCACGTCGGATTTACGTCGGGCGGACTCGGGAGCTTACGGAGCTGACGTGTGGACTAGGTAATACTACTATTACGCGCCGCGCGAGGCCTCCAGGATTTTTCTCAGGGTCAAGGCTACAAGTACGATGGATGCGACGCACGCCGCGCGAGGCGGCTCAGGGGGCAGAGTGCTTACGGTTCGGGTGCACGCTGCGTGGACGCTTCCCCTCACCATGCACTGCTGACTACGAATCTGGTTGCTACAATGACATAAGCATAAAGACTGGGAGGTCCGCGCGGATTTCTCGGATCCGCGCTGGGGGCCCCTGGCGGCGCCTGCGGCGCCGCCCCTGGCGCGCTCCGCGCGCCAGGGAGGGGGGTCCAGAGCGGATCCGAGAAATCCGCGCGGACCTCCGAGTTGCTATGTTTATGTCATTTTTCGCTCCCCTAGACCTGCACGCGGTAGCCGTCCACCTCGTACTCGTTGGCGCCCAGCTTCCGCACGAGGACGTTGGCGTTCGCGACCTGCCTGAGGCACCCCTCCACGATCTGGTCGGTGTTGTTCTCTACGGCGGGCTGCCAGAGGCCTGACGCGCCCCGCGTCATGCAGGGCGTCACCTTCGGTGGCAACTCACGGGAGCCTCTCGTACCATCTTGTCGGCTCGTGCGCATCGACGCGAATCGACGCTAGTCGACGCTACCCGACGCTAGATCGACGCTAATCGGCGCTGACCGGCGCGAAATCGGCGCCATGCCATCGGCTCCAAGACGCGAATCGACGCTAGTCGACGCTAAAGACGGAATCAAGAGGGCATACCAGGCGCCCATGGTTTGCTACCGAACGTCACCGGGGTGGACGGCGACTGCGGCGGCGACGTCTCCCTGAGGTGGGTGCGCGGCGGCGTCGTCGCCCTGGGCACGGGCGCCGACGCCCTCGGTGACCGAGCCGCCCGAGGGTTGGTGGCAGTCCTCCTGGACCGCCTGCCGAGGCCCGGCTGCATGGGCAGAACAAGAAAAACTGCAGAATCATAAACCTTCGGTCCCGCTCCTGCTCCCGCTCCCGCTCCCGCGCCTGCTCCCGCTCCTGCTCCTGCTGCTGCTCTCCTCCTCCTCCTCCTCCTCCTCCTCCTCCGCCTCCTCCTCCTCCTTTTCCGAGTTAGCTGTCCTGATGCGCAACACGCAATCCGGAGCATGTTGGCACGGAGCTCCACACGTAGGCTGAAAATGTAGGCCTGGCAAGACACGGGCGCCAAAACATGGCCCAAAACGTGCCGAGCCAACATGCACAGTGCTCAACCTGGAGGTTTTGGACACGGTACAGTGGAGGCCAGAAGCCCAACCCCGAGACCCAGGGACGTGCATCGATGCTTGGTGTGGGAGCGCCTCGCTTCCCACGGCAAAACCATCGAGACCCAGGGCACCCTGGAGGCAGGCAGGGTGCTTCTTGGCATGGGCCCCCGTGCACGTGCTGCGTCTCCGCCGGGGCGCATCCCGGGCAGCTGCAAAAGCTTTCGGAGCTGCTCCGCGCGCGGACGTCCGCGAGCGGCGCCACGGACCCCCCCCCCCTCCCTGGCGCGCGGAGGGCGCCAGAGGCGCCGCGCCGGAGGCGCCGCGCCGCCAGGAGGGGGGGCCCGGCGCCGAGGCACGAAAGCCGTGCGGAGCTCCGACGGTGTAGACCAGCGCGTCCCACGACTCGCACAGTGACCACTTGTCGGGGAGCGGCCAAGAGGGGGGTGTCCAAGAGGGGGGGGGGCAGATCATGACCGGCGGCAGGTGCGCGGCCCAGCGGGGGGGCCAGGGACGTAATGAAACAAGAAGAGGCGCCATGAAATCTGGGGAAAATCATGGCCCGCGCCATGATATCCACCCCCCCCTAGTCATCACCCCCCTCTTTTCCGCCCCCGAACTTGCAAATGGCCTGGATCCACCATGGGGAATTTACGATACCTTACATCGCTGCAGACATGCTATTTTTTCTGACGTTTGCGAGTAGGCCCTTTGCGAGTAGTGGAACGCGCTCGGTGAAGGTTTGTGCTCGGACAGTTCCTTCTTCTTCGGATGGAAACGTACAGCCCCTGCCCAGGCATCAGCTCGCCCCCCTGGGCGAGGGCCGCGCCCGAGCAGGCCATGGCGCCGCCCATGGCGACCTCTCGGAACGACGCCCTGGAGACGGGGCTGCCCAGCCGGACCGGGGATCGCATACCGCTGGCCTGTCGGGTGTCGCTCCCTGCGGCGTGCCGGGCATCCCACGGCACCGCCAAGGAGTGCTGGACAACGACCTCGCGCTGCTGCTGCGGCCGGGTGGAGGAGATCACCTCGCCGGGCCGGACGCCGTCGCGGGAGCTCAGTCTCGGGGAGTCGCCCGAGCTGCAGAGGAAGTTCTCCCTCATGAACTCGAGCATCTCGCCGCGACGGGACGCTGTCACAGCCCGGGCCGCCCCTCTCGCGGGGCCTGAGCCGGGTTGGCTGCGGATTGACGCTCGATCTGCATGTTGCTGAAATTCGATGTGTTGGCTTGGTATGTGCTGCCCACGTGTTGCCACAGCCACAAAGACGATCAAGACGAGTCTAGTTTCAGACGTCTGGGCCAGTTTCTCAAAAGTTATTTAAACAAACCTGGGCCAATGTCTGCTGCTCCTGCTGGAGGGCGAACGAGCTCAAACAACTGCACCAGCTCTCCGGCAACCTGGTCAAGAAACACTTGCCCAGCTGTTCGGGGTTAATCCTCTTAATCAAATTCTCGACTGTATTTGGGCCTCCGCTTGCGCAAAAAAAGACTGGTGAACGGCCTGAGCCTGTTCGTGTAAAGGCCCCCACAGTCTGAAAACTGTCAAAAAACTGCTCGATGGAGAGAGCTCCCAAATATTATCTCAAGAGCCCTCCCTCGAGCACCAGGGCTGCCCCAGACCCAAGGCAAACCGCGAGCAGGTCGAGGATCGGGATGATGATGATGATGATGATGATGATGATGATGATGATGATGATGATGACGATGATGATGATGATGATGATGATGGAACTGCTGAGGTTGGTGATGATGATGATGCTGATGATGATGATGATGATGATGATGATGATCATGGTGGTGGTGATGATGGTGGTGATGATAACGATTATGATGATGACGATGGTGGTGATGATGATGATAACGATGACGACGACGACGACGATGATGATGGGAATGATGATCCACGCGTCTACAGGGGTCAAGAGCTCCCCGCTCAAACTGCCCCTCGGTTAAGGGGGATGGTGATGATCAAGATGATGGTGGTGGTGACTGTGATGGTCAACATGATCGTGCTGTTGTTGATGACGATGATAATACTGACGCTGATGATGATGATGGTTACGGTGATGACGATGATGATTGTGGTGATGGTAATGGCGATGGTGAATGTGATCATGCTGATGGCGATGCTGTTGCTTTCGCTGGTGACGATGATGGGTGGTGATGATTGATGATGATGGTGCTGATGATGGTGGTGGACAGAATATAGTGACGATGATGATGGTGAGGATGATGTTGCCGGGTATGATGATGGTGGTGGGAATGATGCCGATGGTGGCGATGGTGAATATGATCCTGCTAATTGTGATGCTGATGCTGACGCTGGTGATAGTGGTGATGATGATGCTGGCGGTGGTGAAGATGATGATGGCGATGATGGTGGTGATGGTGATGGTGGTGATGAATATGAGCATGCTGCTGGTGATGCTGCTGACCCTGGTAATGGAGACGAAGATAAAGGTGATGATGATACTGATGAAAGTGATGATGATGATGATGATGATGATGATGATGATGATGGTGGTGATGGTGGAAAGGATCATGGTGATGGTGATTATTATCATGATGATGGTGGTAATGGTGATGAAGATGCAGATGATGATGCTGCTGATGATGATGGCGACGACGATGATGATGAGTATGATACAGATGAAGATGCAGATGATTATTATGACGACAACGATGCTGATGGTGGCGATGACAATCATTATCATCTGATTCATCTTCATCTTCATCTTCAGCAGCAGCAACACCATCAGCATCATCATGATAATCATCATCACAGTCCTCAGCATCTGCATCGGCATCTGCATCATAAGCAGCATCATCACCTGCATCAGCATCATCATCATGCTCACCATCGTCATCATCTTCACCATCACCATCACCAGTACCATCATTACCGGCATTACCACCAGCAGCAGACACATCATTATCATCACCACCATCATCATCACCATCACCGCCATCATCATTATTACCATCACAATCACCATCATCATCATAGCCATCGTCATCAGCATCACCTCACCATCACCAGTATCATCACCATCATCATAATTATCATCATCACCATCATCAGCCGCAGCATCATCATCAGCATCATCATCGTCACCATCATCCAGACTCCGCTCACGACGCGCTCGCAACACTGCTGCGGGCCCCTTGCCACACAAGCCGCGATCCAGGAAGCCCCCGCACACCAGAGAGGCCTCCGGAGGCCCAGGACGAGTACCCCATTCTTGATTGTCATGTTCTCCTTCTTCTGAGCTGGCCCATGAGTCTTCTTGTTCTTAATGATCATGCTCTTCTTGTTCTTCTTGCTCTGGATTGTCATGCTCGTCTTGTTCTCAATTCTCGTGCTCTTCTTCCTCTGAGCTGGCCCATGGCTCGGACGTCGTCTGCGTGTCATCAACGCGCGGGCCCCCTGAGCGCTCTCGAGCCCTGGCTTTCTGTCGGGCGTGTCCCCCTACAGGGGGATTTTCGATGCAAAATCAAAAATACCTCCAAAAATACCCCAAAAAGGTCAAACAAATACTGAAAAATGGTCCCAAGACTATGTTTCGACTATTTTTAAATTATTTTTGGGGTACTTTTACTGTTTTTAATCGAAAATCCCCCTGAAAGGGGGACAGGCCCGACTTAGCCCTGCCCCCCGGGGGCCGGGACTGCCGCCTCGGGATCGCTCCGCGACGGCCCCCATGGGGGGGGGGGGGCCCCCCGGCGACTGCTCCCCGGGAGGCCGCAGCCTGCGAGGAGGGCCGCCCGCCGCGCCCCTCTCCCGCGGAGGCCCGGAGGCCCGGGGAAGCGCGGGGGGAGGAGGGGGAGGAAGAGGAGAGGAAGAGGAGACGACGAGGAGGAGGAGGAGCAAAAGAGGAGGAGGAGGAGGAGGAGGAGGGCGCCGACGGCGCAGGCGGTCCGAACGCTGTTCGGAGCCACCTTGGTTCGACTCTGCTTAGAAGTTGCTTCACCGTTTTCGGCCTCTCGCGGCCTTCGTTCTCGAGACTTGGCATTGATTTGAGCAGGTGTGCTCGTTTGCGCTGCTTCGGTCTTCGGACCAGTTGGCCTCGCCTTCGGGCGTCGCAGGGGCCGCGCGAGGGCCGCCTCTTGTTTGCTGTGTGTAGTTCTTGGTACACCTTATGGGTTATCATGGGGATTCCTGCGGATTTCTGTGGGGGGCCGTACGGATTCCTCTGAGGATTCCTATGGATTCCTATTGGGGTCCTACGGATTCCTGTGGGGATTCCTCATAGGCTTCCTCTGGATACCAGAGGCTGGTCGGCGCTCTCAGAGCGCCGACCGGCCTCTCCTGGCTCGT